CTGGGGGATTCTAGGCTGGGGCTCTACCACTGAGCCACACCCCCAGCCCCTCACTGGGGGATTCTACGCAGGGGCTCTACCACTGAGCCACACCCCTGCCCCTCACTGGGGGATTCTAGGCAGGGGCTCTACCACTGAGCCACACCCCCAGCCCCTCACTGGGGGATTCTAGGCAGGGGCTCTACCACTGCACTAGGTCCCCAGACCCTCACTGGTCCATGCCAGGCAAAAGTTCCACTGCTGAGCTAGATATAACCCCAGCTCTCTTTTGTGCTGTGTGGTGCATGAATGTGTTTGTACAGATGTGTGCATGTGTGTGAGTGTCATGTTGAGACAGACAGGTGTCAGGTGTCTTCCACAATTTCTGTTCACCTTGTTTTTTTATTTTTATTTTTATTTTTTGGTTTTTCAAGACAGAGTTTCTCTATGTAGCTCTGGCTGTCCTGGAACTCACTCTGTAGACCAGGCTGGCCTCAAACTCACAAAGATCCACCTGCCTCTGCCTCCCGAGTGCTGGGATTAAAGGCGTGCGCCACCACCGCCCGGCTCACCTTGTTTTAAAGGTCTGTTTTTATTTTTAATAATATGTCTAGGTATGCATGTATGCATGTGAGTTTCAGGTACCTGAGGTCAGAGGTCAGAGGTGTCTGAATCGCCTGGAGCTGGTGTTACAGGTGGTTGTAAGTTACCTGAAATGGATGCTGGGACCGGAACTCAGCCTCCTGCAAGAGCAGTGTGTGCTCTTAATGGCCGAGTCATCGCTGCAGCTCCAGTCACCTAGGTTTTTGAGACAGTGCCTCTCACAGGCACAGCTGGGCTGGCAGGGCAGTGAGCCCCAGAACGCACCCGTCTTTGTCTCTCTGGCTCTGGGATTACAGATGGTGTGTCACTGTGACAAACTTTCCCATGAGCGCCGGGGACCCCAACTCACACCCTCATGCTTGCGAGGCAGGTCCTTTATTGACAGAGCCTTCGTGCTCTGCCTCCAAAGGGCTTCTTTTGTTGTCCTTACATTTGATCTCAGCTGAGAGGTCAAGGAGCAATCGTTTTCTACCCTTTAATCTGGAACAAGGTCTCAATCACTTGCCCAGGGTGGCCTTGAATTCACTGTGTAGCTCAGGTTGACCTTGGGGTTTTGATCCTCCTGCCTCAGCCTCCCAAGTCACCGGGATGTCAGGCCTGTACCGCCCACTCTAGCTTCTTTATTAGGCATTTATTAATCTCCTAATTAATGAATTACTGAATTACTAATCTCCGTCCTGATTCTCCGAGTGTCGTGATGATCTGCATCTCAGGTGAAGGCGATGGTGGAGGAGCCAGCGAGGAGGCTCGCGGGGGTAAAGGTACTTCTGCTGCGTCTGTCTGAGTTCTATCCTCAAGACTCACAAGGCAGAAGGAAAACAGGCCAAAGTCAGCCTGGGTTACCTGATGAGTTCCAGGGCAGCCAGAAATGCTCCATGCGCCCCTGTTTCCAAAACACAAACAAACACCATCTCAAAGCAAATGGCTGCCCAACATCAGAGTTTCCGAATCAGCGGGTCTGAGGACTGGGTCAAATTTTGCATGTCTGATAAACTCCCAGATGATGCTCTGTTGATTCTCAGCATCTAATTTTGAGAAACCACTCTTAGGAGAACACACAGGCGAGTCTCTCTTAGAGAGCTCCACGCTCCTGCTTTTGAGTATCTTCCTTTCTTCTGAGCTGGAGTATTTTTCTCTTAACTGTCATGCCTATATTAAACTATCCTCATTAAACCTCAACTCTGGCCAGGCAGTGGAAGTGCACACCACCCACCCAGCACTCAGGAGGCAGGGGCAGGAGGATCTCTGTGAGTTTGAGGCCCCCCCTGGTCTACAGAGCAAGTTCCAGGACAGCCAGGGCTACACAGAAAAACCAAAAGCAACAATAACAACAGAAAACAATTCTAGAGAGGAGCGGGGAGAATGTGAATGTATGCAGGTGGCCAGTGCATTTGAGCAGTCGGAGCATGGAGAAAGAGGTGCTGCTGGGCTGCAGGCCTGTGTGACCCTTGTACCCAGCCCAGAGGCATCTGGCCAAGGGGGAAGTGGAGGCTGAAATCTTCCTCGTAATCTCTTTGTCTGTCCTCATGCCCTGGCCTAGGCCTGCAGTTTCTGACGACTGTTTCTGCTGATGTGAACAAAGACTCTGTACTTGAAACAGGAACTTGGATCTGAAGGAGTCAGACATGTGGGGTAGCGTACAGGAGGAACTCAACGTGTAGACTGGAAGGCTTCAAACAAAAGAGATAAAATTCCATGACTAAAGGACCCCTCTTGAGCATGCATAAGCAAAATGTTGCATAGGCATATGATGGGATCTTATTTAGTCCTGTTCTTTGTGGTGCTGGGAATGAGAGCAGAGTCTTAAGCATCTTTAGCTTTCTGATACTAAGCCATGTTCCCAGACTTTGTTGTTGTTGTTGTTTTTCTTTTATTTTTTAAGTTGTGTGGCTGGAGATATAGTTCAGCAGTTATAAGTGTTTACTGCTCTTACCGATGGCACCTGCAAACACATAAATTAATTTTTTTTTTTGAGACAGGGTTTCTGTAGTCCTGGCTGTCCTGGAACTCGCTCAGTAGACCAGGCTGGCCTTGAACTCAGAGATCTGCCTGCCTCTCTGCCTCCCGAGTGCTGGGATTAAAGGCGGGAGCCACCACCAACTGGCTATAAATTAATTTTTAACAAATAAATTTTATAACACACATTGTAAATATATAACATATTCAGTGTATGCACGTGTTGTATGTCAAAGGACAACTTGTGTAGGTGAATTCTTTTCTTCTACCATGTGCCAGAATCTAAGACTGTCATAACTGGCAGCAAGCACCTTTACCAGCTGAACCATCTCACTGTTTTTTTTTTAAGACAGAGTCCAGTGTAGCCCAAGCTGGCCTCAAACTCACTGTACAGCCAAGGAGGAAATCTTGACCTCCTGATCTTCCTGTATTCACCTCCCAAGTGCTGAGATTACAATTTTCAGTTTTACAAAGGAAGGAAATTGGGCCACTGAGACGGCTCAGTGGATAAAGGCGCCTGCGGTCAAGCCTGATGTCCTGATTTTGATCCCCAGTCTCCACTTGGTGGAAAGAAAACGATGTCCTGAAAGTTGTCCTCTGTCCTCTGTCCTCTACATACAACCTGTGACATTCAAACACTCCAGCCCCCGTGACACACACACACACACACACAAACCACAATAAATGTGCGTAGTAAAAAACAATATAAATAAACATGAAAATAGAGCTGGGCGTGGTAGTACACACTTGTAATTTCAGCATTCTGGAGTCAGAGGCAGGAGGATCATCCTTGTCCACATAGTGAGTTTGAGACTAACCTGGGCTACAAGAGACTCTGTCACAAAGGGGTTTAACAGTATATATGAAGCCAGGCGGTGGTGGCTCATGCCTTTAATCCCAGCACTCGGGAGGCAGAGGCAGGCGAATCTCTGTGAGTTCGAGGCCAGCCTGGGCTACAGAGTGAGTGCCAGGACAGGCTCCAAAGCTACACAGAGAAACCCTGTCTCGAAAAACCAAAAAAAGTATATATGAAATGAATCCAACTGGAATGTGAAATACACCCTATAGGCAAGGAATGTGGTATCATAGGCTCTAAAAATAGAGAAGCGGTTTGTGTGACTGTCACACTTAACTCAAGCGGTGGGATAGGATCAAGTTCAACAGCCATGGGGTAGAAGGTGGGTCACCAAGTTCTAAATGAGCTAGTAGAGAGCTGGAGAAGCTAGGAGAAAGGTCTTGTCCATCCATGGATTTGGTAAGGACAATAGCAACTTATGCTTCATGTACGCCTGCCTTTGCCTGCCACTGTCACCTGTTTCAAAGTCCAATGAGGAGGGGAGAGTCTCTAAGCTGTCTGGTCCACTTGCTTGTAAGAGCCATCCATCATAGACTGGAGAGATGGCTCCGTGGTTAAGAGCTGCTCTTCCAGAGGTCCTGAGTTCAATTCCCAGAAACCACATGGTGGCTCAACCGTCTATTATGGGATCTGATGCCCTCTTCTGGCCTGCAGGCATATGTGCAGACAGAGCACGTAAAAATACTACACAAAACAAAACAAAACACACAGAGAGAGAGAGAGAGAGAGAGAGAGAGAGAGAGAGAGAGAGAGAGAGAGAGAGAAATAAAATAAAATAAAGAGCCATCCATCATTCGAACTGAAACAATCTCTCATTACCCTGTAACGGGGAGATGAGGGTGAGGGGAAGAGGCGGGCGGGGGGGGGGGGGGCTGGAGATATTATGGCAAAGATGTTAAGAGCACAGGCTATTCTTCTAGAGGACCCGGATTCAATCCCCAGCACCCACATGGTCACAACAGTCTGTAACTACCGTTCTACAGGGGATCCCACGCTACCTTCTGGCCTCCGTGGGTGCTGCTTCCATGCGGTGCACAGATTCATGTGCAGACAAAACACCCATACACATTACAAAGAAAAACAAACCCAAGACCTTCTTCCCGTTTCTGAGGTAGGGAAACGAAGGTTGTAGTCTGTCCGATGAGGCTATACAAGGGCCGCTTGACAGGTAGTATTCTCTCTATTCACAAGAGGGGAAACTGAGGCCAGAGAGCGGGCGATACCCGCTGAGCTTTCCTTCACCAGCCTCAACCCTCCTTTAGTACTGGAGAGGGCGGGCGAGACTGCAAGCGTCGTTAAGGGGACGGATCGCCCACTGATGATTGGGGGCGAACTCGGGCTTGGCCTCCTCGACCTCCTCCTCTACTGGCGCTCGAAAGTCGGGGAGGCAGAACTCCAAAGTGTGCTGCCGCCACCGGTTTCCACGACAACGACACCACGGATTCCTCCTGTCCCTCCCGCGACACGTCTGCGCATGCCCGAGGTCCGCCTGCGGGGCGTCTTGTAGTGAGGGAGAGTAGCGGGAGGAAATAGCATGTGAAACATGGGAAATGTGGTCCAAAATTAGAAGCGCTCCTTTTGCAACGGTGTGCCAATAGGGAGCAGGTTTGCTTCTGTACATCTTGAGAAACGTAGTTTCTGAGCAGGCAGAGATGGCTGGCTCCGGACGCACGGGCGTACGAGAGTCATCGCAATGAAGGCCAATGGGAAGCCGCTTTTTGTCGCGATGCTTCTTGGGAGTTGTAGTTCCCAGCTGGCCGAGGAGGAGGAGAGTTGTTGGGTAGAACTGGCGATTCCGAGTGTTGGGGTGAGGGGACGTGGGGGCGGGGGAGGGACGGGTGAGTTTGGCGCAAAGCCTGCTGGGGCATGGAGTCCTGGTGAGCCTTGTGCGCATGTGCGGGAAGGTGAGGGTGCTTGGGGGGCCTCGCCCTGGAGAGTGAGGTGAGCTAGGGGGAAAGGGAGGGAGAGACTGGGGGTGGGGGTGGGGGTCGGGTGTACGAGGGACAGGCGGGCCACGGGGAGGGGTGCCCGGATCTGGAGGAGGGAGAGAGGAAAGGAGGGATGGGCGGCTTGGGGGAGGGAGATGATAAAGAGGCTGGGGCGGGTGGGGCTGCTGGGGGCGGGCCGGGGAGCGGGAGGGACGCGAGGTGCAGACGCGGGAGAGCTGGCGGCCTGGGGAGGCTGGGCAGTGGGAGGGGGCAGGGATGCTCGAGGTGGAGCCCTGGGGTGGTTGGAAACTGAGAGTGGGGTGGAAGTCCCACCCTGCCGGGGAAGCCGGGGTCGCCGGGACCTCTAACCCCTTTGAAAAGGATTGCGGGAAAGGGTTCTTTCAGGGGCACCGTGCCGTACGTAGCATCGTAGATGGGTTGCAGGTGGCTCGTCCTGGGCGCTGTTCACAAGTTCACGTGCACTTCTGTCGAGTTGAGATTTTGGAGGATAAGGACCTGCACCGTGCATTTCTTTATTAAAAGAGGACCCGCCTCATTAGCTTGTCCCGAGAGAGGCGAAATTCGTTAATGTACAGAAGGGGCTTGGAGACTGATTTTAACAGGATAAGATGGACTTATCTTTTGGTTCTGATCCTCCCGGCTCGGCCTCCCAAGTGCTGAAGTTACAAGCGTTGGCCCAGCTTTTTTGTTTTGTTTCGTTTCGTTTTAGGCAAGGTCTTATGTAGCTCAGGCTAGTCACACTCGCTGCGTAGCTAAGCCAAGCCTTGAACTCTTACTGTTCTTCCTGTCTTCACCCCGACAAAATGCTAAATAAAAAGAAATGCATCACAACATCCGTTTTCTTATACCCCATTTTAACACTTGTTCCAATTTATATTTTAGTCTTGGGCGCTTGTTTCACAGTGGTTCAGTGGTTTTACAGAACTCTTCACAAGGAGCTTGTGGGTAAATGCAAACCTAAGCACCTAGGTGGATTGTGAGTTTGCATATTGCCAGGTGCTGTTCTGGGTACTTTTTAAAAAAATGACTTTTATTTTATGTGCAATGGTGTTTTGCCTGCATGTGTGTCTGTTGACTCCCCTGGAACTGGAGTTACAGACAGTTGTGAGCTGACGTTCGGGTGCTGGGAATTGAACCCGGGTCCTCTGGAAGAGCAGCAACCAGTGCTCTTAACCACTGAGCCATCTCTCCACCATTGTTCTGGATACTTTTGTGCTCTTTATTTTACATGAATCTCCCCAGCCTGGATTGTTGCCCCCATTTTACAGCCTAGGAAATGGAGATAGTGTGTGAAAGGTGCAATTGTTCTTTGACCAAGGACACATTGCTGGTTGGTGGCTGGAATTTGCTCCAGTTCTGCAGCTCTTGTCCTCTGAGTAAATATTTGGTGTGTTGTGTAGCTGAGGGCACAGAGTCCCAAGTGCAGATTCCTGGCCCTTTGAAGGACCATTGAGTGTAGGGGTGTGAGGTGCAAGAAGGACACACTGAAAGTTATACACTTCCTGGAATAAAAGTACAAAGAAAACAACCCCAAAACGGATGGTGGGGAGATGGTTCAGTGGGTAGAGCTGAGGACCTGAGTTTGGATCGGTTCTCAGGTCAAGGGTGAGCATAGGGCCACCTCAGTTTGTGCTCACTGGCTTGTCAGAGGAAACAGCAAGCTTTGGGTTCAGTAACAGACTTAAAATAATAAAGACACCTAACCTCAACCTCGGGCCTCCACGGGCAATTTGCACTGAGGGTGCACGCCCCCCCCCCCCCCCAAATCGATAGCTTGGAGAAAGCGAAAAGCAGAAAAAGCAGTCGGAGATAATTGAATGGGGGACTCCTCACAAAACTCCTCCTGTGGTGGCTTGGACCTTAGGCAAGAAGTCAGCCGTCCATCCTTTGGGGGCAACCAAAGAGGAAATATTTAACCTTTGTAGTATTCAGTTTAACCAGTTTGTTGGCCAAGAGTTGCTCTCTGTGGCTTGGAACTCAGCATGGGTCACGCAGAAAGACTAGTAACCAGCCAGTGTCACTAATTGACTTTGGAGTTTTCTAAGCTCTGTGTGGGGGAAGGAATAGCTAACTGTTTATCTCCCGGAGCCCGCTTTTCCTGTGGGGCAGGTTTCAGTCCCCCGCCCCTAACCCCCATCGCTTCAGCTTAGGGCTACAATCAGTTACAAGCAGTCTGTGATCTTTATTACCCACTGGAGTTTATTTTTGATCTGCTCCCTCACCGCCAGCACCTGAACATGAGCTCCAGTCGGCTTGGAGGTTTTTCATCTAAACCTTTTGAATTTTCTGCGCCCACAAGGCCCAGCTGTGAAGGTCTGCAGGATCCTGTCTAGGGTGCAGCTACTGGGGATATGAAGTACACATCTCACTTAAGTGGAGGTTTGCAGGCTCCTGTCTAGGCTGCCATGTGGGTGTTGGGAATTGAACCCGGGTCCTTTGGAAAAGCAGCCAGTGCTCTTAACTTCTGAGCCATCCCTCCAGCCTGGATTTTCTCTTTATTGCAGGAATTGGGTCTTGCCTCAAAGGAAATCCCCTTTCCCTTGATCCAGACTGCTGTGGGCTTTTTATTTATTTATTTATTTATTTATTTATTTATTTATTTATTTGAGCTGAGGATTGAACCCAGGGCCTTGTGCTTACTAGGCAAGCGCTCTACCACTGAACTAAATCCCCCCTCCCACGCCCTTTTTTTTTTTGGTTTTTGGAGGCAGGGTTTCTCTGTGTAGTTTTGTGCCTTTCCTGGATCTCGCTCTGGAGACCAGGCTGGCCTCGAACTCACAGAGATCCACCTGCCTCTGCCTCCCGAGTGCTGGGATTAAAGGCGTGCGCCGCCATCACCGCCCGGCTGTGCTGTGGGCTTTTATAAGGGGGTTACTGACTGCTCACACCACTTGTCAGAGGAAAATACTGTGCTGATAGGCGTGTCTTCCAGGCTTCCTGGGAGGAAGAGGGCTGTGGAGGGAGCCCTTTCCCAGTCTTCCTGCCTACCATCCGTACCACAGTTTGGTGCTCGACCAGGGTTAGTTATTTGTTTTCCATCATATCAGAGAGGACTTCATTTGGGAAAACTGATGTGTAGTTTATGGGGAGTTTTACTTTCAGATGGTAAAGCCACAGAATGCAGCCTAATTCAGCATTAGAGACAAACGGCTGAGGGGCTGGTGACATGGGTCAGTGGTTAACAGCACTTGTTGCTCTTGTAGATGACCAGGGTTCATATATATATATATATGTATGTATAAATAATTTATTTTTACGTTCATCGGTGTTTTGTCTGCATTCATGCCTATGTGAGGGTGTGAGAAATCCTGGAACTGGAGTTATAGGCAGGTGTGAGCTGCCATGTGGGTGCTGGGAATTGAACCTGGATCCTCTGGAAGAACAGCCAGCGTTCTTAACTACTGAGCCACCTCTCCAGCCCAGATGACCAGGATTGAAATCCCATCCATCACCTGTATGATGGCTAAAACAGTCTGTAACTCTAGTTTTTTTTTTTTTTTTTTTTTTTAAAGCATGCTGTGAAAGGCTTGCTGTGTGTGTTTATTTTGTGTGTTTCTGTGGGTTGAGGAGGAGCGGACCTGAACATACCTTGGCATACATAAAGGTTGTCAGAGGACAACTTGAAGGAGTCAGTTCCTTCCTGTTACTGTGGGGGCCTGGGGCGCAAACTCAGGTCCTTAGGCATACAAGTAAGCACCCTTACCCACTGAGCCATCTCGCTGGCCCCTGGCATGTTCTTCTTCTTTGTAGGAGTCCTCTTCCAATGTCAGGTACTCGGTCTCCGCCTTTAGAGTGATTTCAGCTACCGAACCATCAACAGTAATGTGGAGTGGTGTCTTTTTCTTTACCGCTTTACGATGTACCGTTACTTCATCCTCTGAGCTGTATCAGTTAATCCAGCTCTCAGCAGCTCTTTACTTATTAAAAATTAAAATATAATTACATCATTCTCCCCATTTTTCCCTCAATACCTTGCATATTTCTCATACTGCCAGAACTGATGGGCACTGTCTTCCTGTGGGTTAGTTAGCCAGTTCTTGGTGCCAGTTTCAGAGTGCCGAATCTGTAGGACGTTCTTTGCTGGCACCGAACAAGAAGTCAAGGGCTCCTGACCTTAGACACGGTGCCACCATGGAAACGGTACTCCTGTCTCAGTGCTCCTGACGGCCTCAGGAGTTCCACGCCAGTGCTTCTCATCCTTGGCACAGTTGACACACGATGCCGGGTGGCTTATGTTTGGAGAGTATCCTGTGTGTCCCAGGGTATTCAGTTGTGTCTCTGACCTGTACCCTTCGGCCACCAGCAGCACTGTCCACTCCACCTTCCGTCCGACAGTCAGAGTATCCCCAGGTCCGTCCAGATATCCCCTGGGAGTCACACCACCTCCCAGGTTTGGAGCCGTATCCTCGTCCGCCCTCTGCCTTCAGGGACTGGGAAGGGAAGGAAGGGCAGCTGGCTTCCTTGGGGTTGGAGGTATTACGAGGAAAACACATGCAGAGAGGTACTGGGGACACCTGGCCGCTGGCCACATTTGCCAGCTCCCAAACAGTTAGGGACCTACTGTTGGAGTGGTTGTGTCCCCACAAAGTTCATGGACTGTAACCCTAGCCCCCAAAGTGGCTGTAGGGGGAGGTTACAGAGTCATGGAGAGAACCTCACTCTTGGGATTAGTGCCCTCTTGCAAAAGAGAGGAGCTGGCGAGGTGGTGCATACCTGTGATCTTAGCACTGGGGAGGCGGAAGCAGGAAGGTCAGAAGTTCAAGGTTATCCTAGGCTACATAGTGAGTGAGAGGCCAGCCTGGGCCATGTGAGACTCAAAAACAAAAAATCAGAAACTGGTTGGAATCTTGCAGTAATCAGGTAGTAAGTGTTAGGGCAGGTAGTAGCCCACATCTGAACACTTACTACAGGCCAGGTGACATGGAGAGTCCTTCCTGTGTTCTCTTGAAAGCCTTTGAAAAGGGTTTTAAACTCTGTGTGTGTGTGTGTGTGTGTGTGTGTGTGTGTGTGTGTGTCTGAGTATGTGCTATACATGTCTGGGTGCCCGGCGAGGCCGGAATGGAGTCAGATCCCCTGGAGCTGGAGTTAAGGCAGTTGTGAGCCACCCAGTCTGGGTGCTGGGAGCAGATCCTGCGGAACAGATCCTGCGGAACAGCAGTAGGTGCTCGTAACTGCTAAGCATCTCTAACCACACTCCCCATTTAAAAAAAGGCTTTTAGGAGCGTAGATTAACTATGCTGATAATGGCATATATGTGTATAATATGTTTTGATCATATTCACATGAACTTCATAAGCCCCTCTTGTCCTCCGGTCACTCCCACCGGGCCCTCCCGCTTCTCGAATTGTCTCCCTTCTTTTGTGTATTTTTCTCTTTTTCGTTCCAGCCCTGCGAGTTGAACTGGGTCTCTTACCTGAGCATGGGGTTATTGACAGGAGTGTACACAGTGTAGTAGAAGAAAATGTCTGTAGGCAACAGTTAACTGCCCGTGGGTCGGCAGGGCCAGGTAGACCTTGTGAGCTGCTCTCCCATAGCAACTGAAACTGCCTGTGAGCCTCCTGGAGGCTCAGGGTCTGGCCCCCCTCCCCAGCCCCCTCCAGAGAGAGAATGTTGAGGGGCCAAGACTTGGCAAGTAATCACAGCTGCTGGGAGTTCAGGGGTGCAACAGCATGTGTTCCACAGCACGCCACCCCTTTCTCTGGCTCCTACATTCTTTCTTCCCTCTCCAATTCCTGTACCCCGCGCCTTGGAGGGAATAATACAAATGTCCCGCTTAGAGCTGAGCATTCAAAAATTACTTACCGACAAGGTGGTGGTGGCACACACCTTTCCCAGCACTCAGGAGGCAGAGGCAGGCAGGGCTCTGAGTTTGAGGCTAGCCTGGTCTACAGAGCAAATTCCACGATAGCCAGGGCTACACAGAGAAACACTGTTTTGAACCCCCCCCCCAAAAAATAAAAACCCACTTATCCTTAGCACCTTGGCCATCTGAGACTCTGCAGTAATGGCTTGCTGCAGAAAGAAGCTTCCCTGGCCACAGCTGGCAGCAGCACCGAGCCGTATGGGTGTGAGCATAAGTATTCCAAAGGCAGTTTGACAGGCACGGCACGTCTGTGTAGCCGGGCAGCAACAGCAGCTTCCTCCCTCGGGCCTGTGGCTTTTCCAGCCCTGGGCTTCTGACTGGGTCTGTGGTAACAGGTGTGAATTCCCTCCCGTGGGGTGGGCCCCAAGTCCCATCAGAAATCGTGGGTTCCCCCTGTAACTGTCAGGCTGCTGTCGCGCCAGTGGGTGCGTCTTCATGGCTGGCCTGTAGTGTGGCACCTCCTTGTGTTTTCTTAGATAAATAGCCACAAGGAAACTACGAAGAAGGAGGATCTGCCAGACCGAGGTTGTCCCAGAGAGGGACAAGGCCAGGATCAGAGTCTACTTCTCTCTCTGTCTCTCTCTTTCTTTGAATTTTAATAAAATTTCTTTTCTTTTTTTCTACTTTTATTGAAAATAGATTTTATTTTCTTGCCGTATATTCTGGTTATAGTTTCCCTTCTATAAATGTTACAGCTCTGAGGGGAAAGGCTTCCCCAACAGAAGTTTGCAGCTCCGAAGGGAAAGGTGTCCTGGCCGCTGGGAGCCAAGGAATACGCAAGGTCACACCACACAATAAACCTCACACAAGAGATTTATCAGGAGACACACAAGAGGGTGGCCGCCTCTGCTCAGGGGAGAAGTGGCCGGGAACTAAGGGGGGAAGGCTTTAGATAGGGTTCCTTGGGACGGGGGAGGGGTGCGGGAGTGTTTCAAAACATGGACGTGAACTCGGACTTTTTACCCCACACCTCCCCCCAACTCCCCTCTCTGCTGTGGAATGTTCTGTATGTCAAATGTGTTGCTGATTAGTCAATAAATAAAGCACTGATTGGCCATTGGCTAGGCAGGAAGTGTAGGCGGGACAAGGAGGAGAATAAAGCTGGGAAGTGGAAGGCTGAGTCAGAGAGACACTGCCAGCCGCCACGATGACAAATAGCATGTGAAGATGCCGGTAAGCCACGAGCCATGTGGCAAGGTATAGATTAATGGAAATGGATTAATTTAAGCTGTAAGAACAGTTAGCAAGAAGCCTGCCACGGCCATACAGTTTGTAACCAATATAAGTCTCTGTGTTTACTTGGTTGGGTCTGAGCGGCTGTGGGACTGGCAGGTGATAGAGATTTGTCCTGACTGTGGGCCAGGCAGGAAAACTCTAGCTACACCTCTCATCCCAGTTTACACTCTGTCTCTTATTAGAAAATAAACAGGCATCTAAAGAATAGTAATAAAATGAGATAAAATAAGTTCAAACAGTACAAAACAGACAAACAGAAGAAAAAAAGCCAAAGGAAAAGCACAGAGACACAGGAATCCCATAAAACACAAAACTGGAAATCAATATATATATATATATATATGCAATAAAAATGATGAATAAAACATCAAATAAAAATAAGTTAAAACATGTCCTGACTAAACATTATGAGACAAAGAACCTCCAAAAATGCCAGTGAGTTCATTTTCTGTGGCCATCTATTGCTGGACACGGGGCCTGCCCTTAAGAGCGGTTTGTAGGCCGGTTGGTGGTGGCACACACCTTTAATCCCAGCACTCGAGGCAGAGGCAGGTAGATTTCTGAATTGGAGGCCAGCCTGGTCCACAGAGTGAGTTCCAGGACAGCCAGGACTACACAGAGAGACGCTTTCTCAAAAAACAAAACGAAACAAAACAAAAGAGTGGTTGGTTTACCCAGTGAAACTGTTGGAGAAAACGAATTTTTAATTTGCAAAGGGTTATCATAGCTTCTGGGTTAGGGATGGGGCACGTGTCCACTTCTTTCAGCTCTGGGACCCCATCTGGCACAGACCCATGCAGGCCCAGTGCATGCTGCCAGTCTCTGAGTTCACATGTGTGTCATGTGTCTGGAAGGCCCTGTTTCCTCGGTGGCCTCCATCCCCTCTGGCTCTTACAGTCTTTCTGCTGCCTCTAGCGCAACATTGCCTGAGCCGTGAGGGGAGGGATAAGATGGAGACATCTCTCTTAGGACTGGGTGTTCCCAGGCCTCTCACTCTGCACTCTGTCCAGTTGTGGGTCTCTGTTTTTGTTCCGGTCTACTGCGGGAGGAAGTTTCCATGATGGTGGCTGAGCAAGGCACCAATCTATGAGTATAGCAGAATGCCATTAGGAGGCATCTTACTGCTGTGTTCCTTTAAAAGAACAGCAGGATTTGGTTTCCCCCTAGGTCCCTGGCCTATCTAGCCTCAGGTTCTTGACCACCCGAGCAGTGTCGGGGATAGGCTCCATCTCATGAAATAGGCCGTCAGTCCCGTCAGACTCGGGGGTGACTCCCACAGCTTAGCGCCCCTGCTGCCCCAGTGCCTCCTGCAGGCAGATCATCGCTGGAGACGGGAGGCTTTGTGGCTGGCTTGGTGTTTACCTTTCTCCTCTGGCACATACTGTGCAGAGTATGTTCCAGTACGGTGAACGCTAGTCCTAGGGGCGAAGGCTCCAGGTAGGCACCAGCTCAACTTCTCCGTGCGTGTTCAGTGAGTTGTGTAGGTGTTGGCCTTTAGCAGTATGGCCTTATTGTCAGTTTGTGGAGAGCAACTAGTAGCCTTGGCAATAGACTGGATTGTTTGGGGGTTCCCATGGGGCCCCTTCGGTCAACACCTTGATTAGAGGTAGCCTACCCCTGGTACAGGAAGCTTCATTTGGTGACAGGAGGTGTCCAGTTGGGGCTCCATCTCCCCCGTTACTTGGACACACACACACACACACACAGAGCCTTCTACTCTATTAGGTTTCCATATGATGCTTAGAAGAGATCATTCTTACCAGCCTTTCTTCAGCCCTGATTACCGCCTCGTGGGAACCATCTCCAATGGCCTTGTCTTCTCTTTGGTCGGAGAGGCAGGCAGGCAGGCAGGCAGGCAGGCAGGCAAGCTTTTGTTGTACAGAATAGAAAATCAAAGCCCAAGAGGCTGCTAAGACTAAGTGGACGAGCAGGTAGGTAATGGTCGATACCCATTTGGCTTCAGGCCAGTTCTGTCGCCCACGTTCGAGGCCATAGTCCAGACCGCTGAGCTGTACCCTCCCATGACTGACTGTTCTTTCTACAGGTGCTGGTGACTCCAACCCGGGGGGCCCCATGGAGGCCCCAGCACCCCAGCCGGTGAAGCAGGAGAGCCTGTCCGTGGAGGCCCTGACCCTCGACTCCCCGTGGCACCGCTTCCGCCACTTCCACCTGGGTGACGCAGCAGGGCCACGGGAGGCCCTGGGGCTGCTCCGTGCCCTGTGCCGGGACTGGCTCCAGCCGGAAGTGCACACGAAGGAGCAGATGCTGGAGCTGCTGGTGCTGGAGCAGTTCCTGAGCGCCCTCCCCGCAGACACCCAGGCCTGGGTGTGCAGCCGCCGGCCCCAGAGTGGAGAGGAGGCCGTGGCGCTGCTGGAGGAGCTCTGGGTGAGCGGGAGGCCATGGTGGCCGTGGGAGGGGCTTCACTGGATCGTGCTTCTCAGCGTGTGGCCTCACGTCACGTATCATCAAAAGCACTCTGACAGTGAAGGTGTGGTCCACGGCTGGGGCTGGGGTGGCAGTTGCTCTTCCAAAGGTGCAAGAGTGCTTCTCCAGTGTCATCTGTACATCAGGGATCCCAACTTCCTCCCTCAGTTAATAGTTGAGGGAAGAGCCGGGCGGTGGTGGCGCACGCCTTTAATCCCAGCACTCGGGAGGCAGAGGCCGGCGGATCTCTGTGAGTTCGAGGCCAGCCTGAGCTACCAAGTGAGTTCCAGGAAAGGCGCAAAGCTACACAGAGAAACCCTGTCTCGAAAAACCAAAGAAAAAAAAAACAAACAAAAAAAAAATAGTTGAGGGAAGGCCTGGCTGAGGGATGCCTTGCCCAGGGTTTCCATCAATGCAAAGGACACCAGCTAAAGGAAGCCCCAGGAGGCAGCACAGGTGGTGGGGTGAGGGTATCTCTAGAAGATTCCAACCCTCTGACAGGCGTCACCTATTGATGCTGAGGACAGGGCCGACTGGTCTTAGCTACAAAGTGGGAAGCTTATGAGCAGGGAGCCTTCAGCCTGGTGTGGTAGTTCATCTATATATAAGAGGCTGAGGTACGAAGGTCCTGGAGGGCAGCCTGCAGCCGGACCTTCTCTGTTTAAAAGGAAACAAACCCCCCAAAAGCAAGGAGTACCTTCAGGTCGGATGCCTCACACCTTGTGGTCCAGGGTTTTTACCAGGCCTCAGGCTTGGCAACACGGTGGCTTGCCCACGTGGCTGATCTGTCACCAACCCCTTGGCTAACCTCATGTGGTCCAGACTCCCACCTCAGATCAGTTATGCTTGTTTTTGTCTGGTCTGGGGCCCAGGCAGAGACCCTCTGCCTAGGTGTGACATTTGAAGGCTCACATATGACGTCCCAGAAGCCAGGACAACAGCCAGCCTTCTCTGGGACCATTAAAACTTTTAAGTGACAAATGCATGTATTGGGGTGGTGAGTGGTGGGTGGGGTCACGCACAAACCACCTTCCATGTGTAGAGGTCAGAGGGCAGCTGCAGGAGTTGGTTCTCTCCTTCCACTGCGCGGGACTCAGGACATCAGGCTGGCAACGGGCACCCTCACCTGCTGAGCTAGCTCGGTGGACCGCCCTCTCTGTTTCTTTTAACTAAAGATAAGGTAGTTGCTTTTAATATATACATCTAGCAGAATTTAAAAAAAAATCCTTCAAAGACATGTGGTGATACACACCTGTAATCTCATTATTGAGAGTTCAGGTAGGAGGATTTTGAATTTGAGGCCAGCCTGGGCTGCAGAGGAAGACCATGTCTGCAAATGAACAACAACAAAAATCTCCTTTATTGACTGGGTGGTAGGGTCCTCGTTATCCAGAGAATCTACAGGTGTGGAAGTCATTGGGCTCTGTTCTAATAACTGCTCAGCTCCTTGGGCTCTGGGACCTGGAGGGCATAAGGAAACCCCTTCCAGGGGTGGCCTTGGTGCTCATATTACTTGTCTAATCGTGTAGGAGAAATCTTCTTTGGGCTCGCAGTTCAAGGGTCCAGTCTGTCATGGAGGAGATGTCATGGCATCCGGAGCTAGAGGCAGCTCATCAGTGACCTGGGAGGAAGTCGAGAGCAATGAACTGCTCAGCTCCTGTTTATTTGTTTGTTTTTCAAGACAGGGTTTCTCTATGTAACAGCTCTGGCTGTCCCGGAACTCCTCTGTAGTCCAGGCTGGCCTCGAACTCAAAGATCCACCTGCCCCTGCCTCCCAAGTGCTGGGATTAAAGACGTGCGCCACCACACCTGGCTCTCAGCTCTCTTCTAAATCCAATCAGGGACCGTGCCCATGAAATGGCCAGCCACAGTTAGGGTGAGTCTTCTCCCTCACAGACATGCTCAGGGGCTCCTTCCTAGGTGATGTTGGTCCTGCTGGAGCGACAGCATAAACCACCACAGTGCACCTGTAGCTCTTCAGCGGTGTGCCTGGTCCAAACTGCATTGTAGGCTCAGCCCTCCTCAGGTAGGAAGGAGCCTTGCTTGTCCTGTTCATTCCTGTGTCCCTGGTTGGAGCAGCCCCTGGCATTAGTAGGTGCTAAGTAAATGCTTGTTTTGGCGGTAATGAGGAACACCGCCCTGCCTTGAAGTTTCAAAGCAGAAGGCCAGGGTGTATTCTGCTCGGTCACTTCTCTTGAGACAGAATCTGACTTGCTCCATAAGGTAGAATGACTTGTCTATAGTCATCCAGTCTCTGGTCTCAGGACACAGGGAGCCATGGGATTGTTTGAAACCCCGGGAGCAGGGTGTCTGCGCATTCAAGATACCTGAAGAAAGGCTGGTAGCTGGGCTAGGAAACTGGAGAGAGGCAGCTCCAGCCAGTGCCTGTGGTTAACACAACAGGAAATGCCACACCAGTTTGTCTCAGGTCAGAATTGAGGGAAGTCTTAAAGCCCCAGAGGCAGCTGGGAGCATGGAAAAAAAGCACAAAACACTGGATGTTTGTGTGACAGGAGGAAAACTTAGTAAACAAGAGAAATCATCCAAGGCATGTTGACTGATGAGAGCTCCAGACTCAACCTTTGAAAAGCATCGGAAATGGCTGAGTGGTGGCGCACGCCTTTAATCCCAGCAGCTGGGAGGCAGAGGCAGGCGGATCTCTGTGAGTTCGAGGCCAGCCTGGGCTACAGAGTGAGTTCCAGGACAGCCAGGGCTATGCAGAGAAACCCTGTCTCGAAAAAACAAAACAAACCCCACCAAAAACCAAACGAACCAAACAGACCATGAGAGAGTACAGCACAAGCCTTCTGCAGCTGGCTGCCCCGGAACGGAAGGGGGGACGGCAGATACACACCAGAGGCAGAAACAAAGCGGCCAGTCAGCAGACGAGGAAGCTGCTGAGGCTGGAGCAGCTTGCACAAGTTTGAAACCTAGAGGGAACGGACTTTGTGTGTGTGTGTGGGGGGAGGATTCAAATTGCCAAGTCTCATGAAGAAGCAACACATTGAACCCTGAAAACCAGAGGGCAGAGGGGTCGAAACAGTGACTGAAGACCTGACACTCAAAAGGCACCAGGCCCTGACAGTTTTATGTGTGGAAGTCCTGCTGAGGCTTAGAGGAAAGGATCACTCTTCTGTTTTACAGACTGCTAGAGTGTGAAGTGGGGTGGCACCCAGCTCATTTCACAAGGCTGCCAACCCCCTAGCTCCGCTGCCCCACAGTCCAACCAAGCCATACAAGGACAGCCTTTAAAAAGCAAGACCAGGCCTGTCTGAAGGAAAATAGATCCAAGAATCTCAAATAGAATATTGTCTGCTTGAATCCAGCCAAGGATTTATAAACTGACGTGTTCTAGCCAGGTAGGCTTTACACAGATGCAAAGAACGTGTTGGGAATTTACCAACGAAGTACAAAGGCTCTGTGGACAGAATCTACCATTCAAAGTTGAGGCCAGGTGGAGTCAGGGGACTCGGCAAAGGCCAGCATCAGCATAGAAACAAGCAGTGTAGGGCTTGGTGTTGTACGCCTTCAATCCCAGCACTCGGGAGGCAGAGGCAGGCAGATCTCTGTGAGTTCGAGGCCAGCCTGGTCTATAGAGCTAGTTTTGCAGGACAGCTGGGGCTACACAGAGAAATCCTGTCTCAAAAAAAAAGTTGTTCTCTGACTTGCATATGTAAACACACACACACACACACACACACACACACACACACACACACACACACACACACACGGTGGACAGATGCAGTGGAAAGAAGGTTCTTCTGTTAAGAGCCCTTGCTGTTCCTGCTGAGGACTGGAGTTTGGTATCCAATACTCCCGACAGGTGACTCACAACTTCCTGTAGCTTCAGCTCCAGAGAACCAGATGCAGTCCTCTGGCCTCCACGTGTATTTGTGCCTATGCACCCCACCCCAGCATGCTAGGAATAAATCTTAAACAAACAAAAAGCAGGCAGTAGGATTTAAGAACTGTGTGCAAGGTGTGGGGGAGAGGGAGGTAAATACAGGCTATTATAATTTCTCAATTTGGCCAGGCGGTGGTGGTGCACGCCTTTAATCCCAGCCCTTGGGAGGCAGAGGCAGGCAGATCTCTGTGAGTTCGAGGCCAGCCTTGTCTACAGAGCGAGATCCAGGACAGGCACCAAAACTACACCCTGTCTCGAAAAAAACAAATAAATAAATAAATAATAAAAAGTAATAAAGTAATTTCTCAATTTGGCATATGCTATCTCGTTTCAGGGCCCAGCAACCTCCCCAGATCGGTCCTCGGCAATGAGGGCACCTCGGGATATGACAGAAGGCTCAGGGGTCGGTGTTGGAAAGGAAGAAAGTGGCGTGATTCCCTTAGGTGAGCTGCTGGCCTCTCTTCCCACTTCTTTCTTGACCTCCAACATCAGGGGTCCGTGTGTCCCAAGCTAAGTCAGGGACTGACCTGGCCATCTTTACTTGATCAGTGAAAGCTCCAGGAACAGCTCACCACGTGCCCCTCCCTGCCTTTAGGGAGCCCACGGAAGGCGGGCTCAGACTCTGTTTGCCAGGTGCTGCTCTGCCAGTGCGTGGAAAACCCATAGCACCACCTAAACAGACGTGGTCTCTGGAGTTAGGGCCTCCTTGTGCAGCCCAGGCTGGCACGGTCTTTATCCTCGGCCTCCTGAGCGCTGCGATTACAGGCATGCCGGCGTGCCCAGTGAGAACTGGCTGTACTACGTTTAGGTCCAGGGTTCTAAAAGGTCTCAACTGAGGGTGGGTGCTTCTAAACCAGGATTGAGCCCAGGCAGCCTGCTTCGGGTCCTTCTGCACCCCAACCCCTTTAGGACCGGCTCCAGTGGAGTCACGTGCTCTTCCCCTCCCAGGTGCTGTGTCGGGGTTCTGTGTCCCGTGCCCGGCGTCTGAGCTGGGCATGGAGTCTGTTCCATCACCTTAAGGTGAGGTGACTCCATGTATCTCTAGACAGTGGGGCAGAAGCCAGGTATCCCGGAAGATACCAGGTAACTGCTGAGGGTGGTGCTGGAGCCGCGAGGGGAGACCAGTGGGCATTTCAGACAGAAGAGGACGGGACGCCGGGTTCATGATGTAAAACCATCCAAACCAAGGTTGTGGGCCTTCCTGGGGCTCCATGGAGCAGACGGGAAACCTAGACAGGGTCGTCATGTGTAGTTCATCTCTCACCCAGCTTACCTGCTCCTACCCGTTGGTTCGTTCCACACCGTCAGCCTTGCCTCTGCAGTCGGCCCGCCCATCTGTGTACCTTGGGACTCTCCCTTCTCTTCCCACCACCTGGTTTCTCCTTTGTTCCTAACTCAGTGTGTCCCCTCACCCGTGTGTGTGTGTGTGTGTGTGTGTGTGTGTGTGTGTGTGTGTGTGTGTGTGTGTGTCTGTGGGTCCATTCTCCCAGCTCCTCCTCCCTCCCTCCCTCCCGCCCACTCGTTATTTGTCTCGTTACTCCCTACTCCCTGATCCAGAAAGCCACCCATTGGCCTAGTCTTCACCAGGCAGTGTCAGGCTCCTTGCTAGGGGGCACAGGGGTGGGGAACCTGCCTTCCAGGCCACCTCCCTGTCCCCAACTGTGCTACCCACCCTCACCCTGTTCCTTTTCCCCGCCTCGCAGGAACCGGGGCCTCCTCCGGGACAGAGGTGCCTGCCACGGGGAACGCAGGGGCCACGCGCCCCTACAAGCAGGAGCCGGGCAGCCCTCCACCAGCCCCGCTGGCGCCCGTCCTCCCTGCCTTCCTGGCGGCCCCAGGCACCGTGTCGTGCCCAGAGTGTGGCAAATCGCCCCTGAAGCCGGCTCACCTGTTGCGCCACCGACAGAGCCACTCGGGCGAGAAGCCGCACGCGTGCCCCGAGTGCGGCAAGGCGTTCCGGCGCAAGGAGCACCTGCGGCGCCACCGGGGCACCCACCCTGGCAGCCCGGGGCCCGCGCTGCGCCCCCTGCCCGCTCGCGAGAAGCCGCACGCGTGCTGCGAGTGCGGCAAGACCTTCTACTGGCGCGAGCACCTGGTGCGCCACCGCAAGACGCACTCGGGCGCCCGGCCCTTCGCCTGCTGGGAGTGTGGCAAGGGCTTCGGGCGGCGCGAGCACGTGCTCCGCCACCAACGCATCCATGGCCGGGCGGCCGCCGCGCAGGGGACTGCAGCACCAGGTCCGGAGGGTGGGGGTGCCTTCCCGCCCTGGGCCCTGGGGTAGCTGCGGTTCCAAACACCTGCTGCAGGGCGTCATCCCCTTAGCACCCCACCCCACCTCCCTACCGCCTCTTCCCTACCCAAGCGTTGCGTTCCCTTTCAGGCCCCGTGCCCACTCCTTCCTCCCTTCTGGAGTTCTCAGCTTTCACCTGCCCTACAAAAGACCCTTCTCTCTCTCCCTCATCCCATCCTCTTTTCGTGGAAGGCAGACCTGCCCCAGGACACCCTTCATGCGGGAAAAGGAAGGAGCTCAGGGAAGGAGCAGAGCCCCCACCCCCACCCCCTCCTGCCTCCCGAAGGAGGCAATCTTGGACCCTAGGACAGAGTCGGGGCCAAAGGCGAGAGGAGGCAATACTTTCCGAGGAGTAGGCCCAGACCAGGATCTGGTTCTCTCCACAGTTCAAAGGCAGAGGTGCCTGAGATGCTTGTCACAGATGGCAGGTCACCAGCATCAGAGAGAGTAATAAAGTGACTGACTCAGTGTGTACAGGAGTCTGAGACTCTCCTGTGTTGTGGGAGTTGAGCATCTGAGGCACAGGGGACTGGGGTGGGCTCCACCTCACACTCACATTGCAGAAACAAGGACGAGACTCATGAAAGGTCTGGTACCGGACACGCTCCGGTCTGGGTTGTCCTGCCTGTGTGGCTTCAGGCAGGCGGTGCTCCTTCTAGGTGATAGTTCCAATTTCTGTTTTGTTTTGTTTTTTGAGGCAAGGTTTCTCTGCATAGTGCTGTCTGTCCTGGAACGCAGGCTGGCATCGAACTCACAGAGATCTACCTGCCTCTGCCTCCTGAGGGTTGGGAGTAAGGCGTGTGCCACCCTAGCGGGAAGTTGCAATTTCTTAAGTCATGGTGCTTCAATATCGCCCACCACCCTTGCTGATTTACGAAGTTAGGTGACTCCATGTCCTTGGGGGATCCCTAGATAATCAGTGCCAGCAGATCTGGGGCAGTGCATTTTGCCGAGAAGACTCCGTTCTGGCCTTTGGCAAGGTGAAGGCTGCCTCTTGTCCTCAGTTTTGCACAATGACAGTCCTGCAGTCTAGACCTAACTTCTCCAGGAAGGAAACACACGTGGAGTGGGCTGTGTGGCTTGGGAAGGAGCGGGACAGCCCTGGGGGCCGGCCCTGCTGGGGTCTTTGGGCACCTACTTTGGGCCCCAGGGCTCTGCTGCCTCACCAGAATTCCGCTGCACGATGATGAGGGGGGTGTGGTGGAAGGTCCTCGGTGCTCACCCTAGGTACTGTTTTGTTTTGAGACAAGGTATTCCTGGAACAGCCCAGGTTGACTTCGAAGGTATTATGTAGCCAAAGGTGGCCATGAATTTCTGATCCTCCTTTCTCCACCTCCCCAGTTTTGGGATCATAGGTGTGCATCATGATGCCTGGGGTTAAAGACATGTGCCACTATGCCCAAGTTTTATTCTTTTTTCTTTTTTTTTAGACAGGGTCTCTATGTAGTCCCAACTGTCCAGAAAAACTCACCATATAGACCAGGCTGGCCTCAAACTCAGAGAGATCCACCTGCCTCTGTCTCCCGAGTGCTGGGATTAAAAGGATGGCCATCATGCCAAGTCCTTATTTATTCTAATGCCCACATGGGACCTTCCCTGGAATATGTGTCCAAAGAAATGGTCAAAGCAGGATGCATCTATATTTTTTAGAAAAAGAATAAAAATGTATGAATAAGTGGCAGAATGTGGGTGGGGTCTGGACCCTTGCAGAAATTGAGGGTTCACTAGAAACTATGCTTAGTAGGGTAATGTGACAGATAACTAGGGCTGTCTTCACGAGAGTGGGCGTTCCTTTGAATCAATGATGCCCTCTGGTGGTAAGGGGTGTTTCTTGTACTGAGAAGGTGTCTTCTCTGGGAGTTTTTACAGTTTGCAGATAAGAAAGAATGGATGGACAGCCCCTTCTGCAAAGAGAATTTTCACGAGCATTTCAAGAAGCTGGCTAAGAACTTTCCTTTACACCTTCAGGAGTCCTAGCCATCGCCACCCCTAACCCATCAATTATGTTGCTGCTGCCTCTGGCTTCCAGTTCTCGTGGCCGTGGGTAAGAGACGTCTAATTGGCTTGTCCAACATTTTACAGCCTCTCTGTTGCAGAGACGCACAGAGGTGTAGACACAGACAGCAGGTGGGTGCCACCAGCACCTTTGACAAAGCTGCCAAGCCCTAGTGCCCCCCCACCCCCCAAACATAGCTAAGGAGGCCTAGACCAATGCATTGCTACAGAGTGCATGAAAGACTCAGGGCCCACACTCATCTGGTGTCTTCCATGGTAGCATTAGGCTAGCTTTGCTGTGCAGTGGGACAGACTGAAGTCACATAGTCGGCTGTGGGCTGTCGAGTGACTAGGAGAAGCATGGAGCAGTGGGGTGAAGGGAGTCATGCAGACTGAGGGAATTTCATTTGCAATAACAGGAAATGCATGGAAACCCTGTGCTGGGCTGAGACCAATCGGTAGGTAAGAGCACTTGGGGACCTGGCTTCAAAACATCAGTACCTGAGCATTGCTCGGTGAAATAGGATTGAGAACCCATACTTTTAAGCCACTGATTTTTTTTTTTAAACCAAGAAGCTGGAGAAAAGACAGCATCTTTAACAAATGGTGTTGTCCACACTGGATGTCGGCATGTAGAAGAATGAACGTAGATCCATACCTATCACCCTGCAACAGAGCTCACTTCCAAATGGATCAAGAACCTCAACATAAAACCAGATACCCTGAATCTGGTCAAAGAGAAGGCGGAGAATATAGACTTGAATTCATTGTCCCAGGAAAGGACTTTCTGAACAGAACACTGGTAGGTAGCACAGGCACTAAGACCAACAATTAATATATGGGACCTCATGAAGCCAGAAAGCTTCTGTGAGGCAAAGGACACCATCAATTGAGCAAAGTCACAGAATGAGAACAGTCTTTACCAGCTGCATGCCTTGCAGAGAATCCATCCGAATCTAGAATATATAAAGAACTAAAGAAACTAAACATCATGAAAACAACCCAATTTTAATTTAGTGAGGAAAGGAAATAAACAGAGTTCTCCAAAGATTAAACACAAATGGCTGAGAAACATTTAAAACTGTTCAGCATCCTTGCCCATGAGTGAAATGTAAATTAAAACTACTTTGAGATTATTTTAGCCCAGTCATAATGACCATAATTAAAAAAAAATTGCCGGGCGTTGGTGACACAAATCTTTAATCTCAGCACTCGGAAGGCAGAGGCAGGCAGATCTCTGGCCAGCCTGGTCTACAGAGTGAGTTCTAGGATAGTCAGGGCTACACAGAGAAACTGTCTCAAAAAGCCCAAACCAACCAAACAAACAAATTGATGATGAATTGTGGTGTGAGTGTGTGAGTGTGGGGGGGCGGTGAATATGTACTTGGTACAATGGGGGTACAAACTGGGGCAGCCGCTATGGAGACCAGTGTGGAGGTTTCTAAAGCAAGGAAGACGAATGGAGAGTAGCTCTAGCACACAGTCACATTCCCCCAAAGACTCCACTATCGTGCTCTAGAGACACTTGTTATCCGAGTGCATTGCTGCTCTATTCGCAGTAGCCGGAAGGCGGACACTGCCGCGATGCCCATCAGTCAGTGAATGGATGATGAAAACCCACGTTTACACGATGGACTGTTATTCAGCCGGGAGGGAAAACAAAACTGTGGAATTCACGGGTAAATGGATGGATCCGAAAACAGTCATTCTGCGTGAAGTAACCCCGACTCGGAAAGGCAAGCACCGCACATTTTCTCTCTTTTGCGGACGCAAACTTCGCATTTGTATGTTTCATTTGGAGACCCACCGAGGCCAGAAAGCAGTAAGGGTCGGGGTAGGGGCTTTCAAGGGAGGGGAGATGGAAAGTGGTGATAGAACGCTTCCTTTGGAAGTGGAAGCCCCAGCCCAGCAGAGATGGAGAGGCTGTGGAGGAGAAGCTTAGCTCCTCAGGGTCACCACCGGGGCCTGCTTTCGGCCATAGTACGATCCAGGCCTGGCCTGGAGCTGCCCGAGTTTGGCTCCCCCTCCTGGTGACAAAGACACACGCCAGCTCCCGTGGCTGGGAGAATCTAGGGATGAGGCAGGGAGGAGAGACAGTGAGAGAAGGTGGGAAGAACCCTGGGAAGAAATGTGGAAAGGAGGAGACTGGAGAAATGGCCCAGCGCCCAAGAGTGCCTGCTGCTCTGGCAGAGGATCCAAGTTCAGTTCCCAGCACTCATATCTGGTGGCTCATGACTGCTTGTAACTCCAGCTCTAGGGGATCTGACACTGTTGCCTGGTTTTTGTGGGCACCCGCAATACATGCGTCGCTTTCTCCCTCTCCCTCTCCCTCTCCCTCTCCCTTTCCCTATCCCTTCCCCCTGCCACCCCCCCCCCCCTCTCTCTCTCTCTCTCACACACACACACACACACACACACACACACACACACACACACTCATGCAAAAAGAAAATGAAAATACAATCTTGGGAGAATGGCTAGTGAGGTCTTTGAGCATCCCTTCTTTCAACTCTCCCCCTCCCTCCCTCCCTCCCTGTGGTCTCCAGGTAACCTCTTCTAGGCTTCCATCCCATAGCTTTTTCTGCCCCCTGTCCTGAGGACATCACCTCTCCTCCTCCCTGCTCTTTCCCAGAAAAGCCATTTACACTCCCATGTCACTTTCTCCTTCCTAAGTGTCTTCCTCTTCCTCCCCCAGATCTGAGGTCACACAGAGGAAACCTCAGGACAAGGGCTTGGCTGTCTTCCCGTCCTTTTTGTCCGTACCTCCCCGGATTCTACCTTTTTCAGCTGGAACAAGGAGGACCCAGGCCCAGTTCCAGAAGGAGCGCTTTAGGTATGGGGGCTGATACGAAGACAGACAGAGAGACACAAGTGGTCCCTGGTGAGGGGGGTACAGGAAAGAAAGAGACCTCTTAGCAGAGAGGAGGAGAAGGGGGTTCCAGGAGAATCCAGACTCTCCCACCGTTTCTCGGGGAGCAAGTGGCGATGGCAGGGTTTAACTCTCTCCTGTTGGAAGTGGCTGCTGTCTGGGGCAAAGAGGGAGAGAAATGGAGAGACAGAATAAAGCAGAAGGAGAAGCTAGAGCAGACACAATGGCCTCCGTCAGTAGCTCATCCTGCAGCTGTTTATTGAGATCCAGGCACTATCTTTTTCTTTTTTAAAAACTATTTATTGGCCAATGAGAAACCTCCGTGGGAAAGGATGCTTGCCATCAAGGCTGGGGATCTGAGTTCAATACCCGGGATTCATATGATAAGATTGATGCCTACAAGTTGTTCTCTGACCTCCACACGTATGCTATGGCATGTGCCTACCATAAATAAACACATGAAATTTTAGTGTATTTACGTGTATGCATGTTTGTGTCTGTGTGCATGAGTGAGTGTACCTGTATGCACACACAAAGGCACAGCGGGCGTTGGGTGTCCCTTTTCACCAGTCTCCGCCTATTCCTTTGAGGCAGCATCTCTCCCTGATGC